TATATATATGTCGATTATTAATATTTTTTATATTTTTTTCAGTATCAAAACCAAGATATGTGCGTGTAAATACTTTACTGTTATCGGTTCAAGAAGCTATAGAAAATTTTGAATACGAAGGATGGTCTTTATTGCTCGAATATACGGATTATTCATCTTATCTGAAATTAATATCAAATTTATCAGAACCGTATTTTACTAAAGACTATCACGTACCTGAATTACTTGTTTTTCCACATGGTACATCATTTTTTAATCATCCGAGTTATACAAATGGAAAAGTATTATTGCAGGATAAGGTATTACTTATATTTGTTTTAAATAATCTTATTATTTTGTAACTAATTATTGTAGTATATTTGTTATATTTTTCTCAGGCGAGTTGTCTCCCATCGTTCATTCTTAATCCACCAATTGGATCTGTTGTTTTGGATATGTGTGCAGCTCCAGGGATGAAAACCTCGCATTTGGCTGCGATATTACAAAATATGGGGTAAGGCACTCTCAATCGTATTTATTTGCAGTTACTCGTAAAGCACAATGGATTTTACTTGATTACACAATAATTTATTTTTATTAGAACTATTTATGCGGTTGAAATTGAAGACAGAAGATATCAAACACTATCCGAATTATTAAAAACAACTAATTCTAGCTGTGTTCGTACTATAAATAAAGATGCTTTGTGCCTTGATTCAAGTCAATGTCCAGACGTCAAATATATTTTAGTTGATCCTAGTTGTTCTGGTTCAGGTAATAATTTAAAATTTTTGAAATTTCAAAGTTTTAAAAAAGACAATTTATCTACAATTTTTGATTATTTACTTTACAATCCAGGTATTATCGATAGACCAAAAGTGGGTAAAAAAGATGGTAAATACGATGAAGGACGTTTAAAAAGTTTACAAGCATTCCAAGTATTTCTTTTACGACATGCTCTATTAAACTTTCCATCTGTAAAGAAAGTTGTTTACAGTACTTGTTCGTTAAATCGAGAAGAAAACGAAGATGTGATAGATGAAATTCTAACTAACATTGGAGATGCATATAAGCTTGTATCTATTAACAAATATCTTAAAAAAGATTGGTTAAATTACAGTTCGGAGGATAGCAGTTGCAAAAAAAAATGCATTTATGCTAAACCCGAAGTAGATTTATGTAATGGTTTCTTTGTTGCTATGTTTAAAAGAAATTTTGACGTTCCTTTACCATCGTATACTCCTCGAACGCATGGCACGAGTATAGAAACAGAATATACAAATTTCAATGAAAATCAAGAAATTAATAACCAGGAGAATAATGAAAATCAGGAAACAAATAATCAGGAGAGTAATGAAAATCAGAATAACAATTCATCGTCTAATTGTAAGAAAAAAAAGAAACGTAAGAAAAGAAAGCGCGCAGATAATACTGCGAAGAAACAAGAGGAAGAAAGCGTTAATCTCGAAGAAATTAATGACAAAGAAGATGGTGTAATTACTTCTGAAGAGTCGTCAAAAAGAAAACGTGAAAGTGCTTCTAAAAGTACTACAAAAAAATTAAAAACATGAATAATATAGCAGGTAATATATAGAAACTATTACAAAATTAAAAAATAAAGACATAACGAATGTTTAATAAAGTTATAAAATCAAATAAATTTTATTTATTTTTTGTTTTATTCTGTATACGATTATCATACAGAATGTGCAGTAAAAATAGATCAACCCTGCTTCTGAGCAAGTTCTTTAGCTTTAGCTTTCTCCAGTTTTGCTATTCGTGCAGCAGATTTGCTACCTAATAAACCACCTCCCCAATGACGCCTGATCTCATCCTGTCGATCATTGAAGTTAGTTTTGATAGCTTCTACTATCTTAGAGAAGTTGGCTCTATCACCAGAATCAACCTATAAAACAATAATAGAATAAATTACATAAGCCATAGAAGTAGATTTTTTTATTACTATATTGTTTCATTATTATTAAATGTCAGAATATATTGGATATTTTATATCATGATTTTTCATGGGATTGGCTCTTGTTTATAATCATCATATGAAAATTTGTATCATATCGCATAATAGAATTTATCAAACACAATATGTACCTGAGTAATAGCTACAACAGTGCAGGTCTTGCGCCTAACTAAACGTCCTAATCTTGCCTTGCCTTTTACGATACAGTATGGAACACCCATTTTACGACATAGAGCAGGTAGGAAAAGTACTATCTGTTGTCAAATAAAAATTAATATTAGTATACGAATAAATATAATATTACAAAGTAAAAATGAATAATTATAATTAAAAGTAAATTCTCAGAGTCATATCTCATCATGCTAATAAAACTAACATTGTCGGTTTTATTATCAGGTGAAGAAATTCTTACATCATAGAAATATATACTAAACTTAATAGAATATATATAGTATATTGAGAATATTTTTACGTACCTCAATAGGATCTACATCATGTGCAATAACAACCAATTGCGCTTTCTTCTGTTCCACAAGGGTAGTTACAGTATTAGTTCCACTACGTAAAACATTAGGCCTTTTAGTGGGCGTGTCTTCTTTTTTAGCAACCTTCTGTTCTGCTCTAGCTTTTAGTCGCATTTTTTTCATTGCTGCAGATTCTGGACGATACCTATCCAATATCTTGAACAACTGCGTTGCTATAATTCAATAACACTGTACTTGTTTGGTACTATTTATAATACTTTAAAAAAAAAACCGTTTTATTAAGTTTTGATAATCCATTTTTTTCTAAAGTCAAATTGATGCATAGATAAAAAAACAATTAAGTATGATACCTGTTTGTTTGTCCAAAGATTGACTGAATTGATTGATTGGAGGTGGTACTTTCAATCTTTTTTGAAGAACAGCCCGTTGTCTCTGGATGCGAATATATTTGGGCCATTTGACAAAGCGGCTGAGATCACGAGCAGGTTGGATATCCTGGCCTGTAACACAGTAACAGGTACTTAAATATTTTCCGAATAATAACAGTAGGAATTAGTATTTACCATGAAAACAATTTGAAATATAGATATTTTACTTACCTATACCAAAATTCCGGGAACGTTTTTCGAAAAGAGGGTTAGTTACTTTCTTCGTTTCAACTTTTTTCACTGCTAAAGGTGCAGCAGCTACCTTCTTCCCGACCTTCTTCTTTGGCTAGAATGTTTATAAGTAAACAAATAAATTGTATTAATTATTAAATTACGATTTGATTAAAATGCTTATTTCTTATTTATATAAAAAACAATTATTTTATAAATTGTTGATGTATTTTGATATATTTTTTCATTAACAATGTTGTTTGGTTATATTGGAAACATAAAAAGATTAAATGAGTGAAAAGATTCGATTACTTTAAAGTAAGAAAAAAATATAAGCATTCTATGATAATATAATATTTTTACCTTCTTTTGAACCATTTTTTAAATTAAGAATCAATCGGATTTCTTCTAATATTTCAGAATATGAAACACGAGTTCTCAAAGAACATGCCACTTTCCAGCACAGAAAGTGTAAAAGGAACGTACAATGGTGCCACTTTGAAGACCGCTGATGTTTTTCGTAGTTGGTACAACTTTTTGAATACGTTGGTCATGATCGCATCTCATATTACAAATATTTCAATCGTAAATTAACGAAATATTTAATAATTCTTTAATTATATATATATATTTCACATTTTTTATTAATATTTTTAATATTTAATGTTTAATGTTAAATCATGAGAAAGTATTTGCCATATTCTCAAAAATTCTTATAGTTTCTTATTTAATTTAAAAAGTAAGAATAATTTAAATTTGTCAAATAAAAATATATTAATAATATTTAAGTTATTGTAACAATAAGTTTTTTTTTTTATTAATATTTTTGATAATAATAATTTTTAATAGTTGTCGTAAGATAAAAAGTGGCTCATTTGACTTCAGTAACATTATTATGGCATATGTATTGATAGGGAGGTCCGATCGAAAAGATGTCGGTTAATTACACGGCTGAATAGATAAAAATATAAAAAAATATTATTAACATATGTGTAATCGTTGAAATGTGACATATTTTATTAATAGTGAGTTTATCCAAGTAAATGAAAGACACGTGTTAATTTATTAAATTTCACGTGATATTAATGTTAACGTATTCATCGTTCGTAGCATCGTTTGTTAATACGACGTTTCTAGAATTACATAAAAGATTAGTATTTATAAAAATAAAGTGTAATTAAAATTAAAATCCAATATGACCGATCTCAGTTTTTTAAATATTGAGTTTAATCAATTATCTGTAGGCGTGAGTTATTACAGAGTTGTATCGAGTCATTTGTTTCATTAAAAACTTCCTTTAAAAATGTTTCGCATCATAACTCTCATGGGATAGCTGAACTTCATTTTGACATCTCAAGAATTAGAGGTATGCCAGATATTTTTTTTGTATTTTTTCTTTATAAGATATTTTAATGTTTTATAAATTATATATAAATGTCATATTAGTATTATAGTGTCCCCATAATTTTTAAAATTAAAGTACAAAATTTTTTAATATATACTTAATTCCTGAAATAAAAATTCTATTTGCTCCCTATACAATAAAATTGTAATTTAAATTTAATAAGGAACTAATCGTATAAGTTACCAATATTATATGTCAACAAATTACTTTATCATAAAAGAAAATCAATATCCTGTCCATCGATTAACATTAAGATATTAAATTTTTTATCTCGTTTTTCTTTTTGCAGATGATTGGTCGACGTTGTGCTCTACTCGCCCTGGGCGCACTTTTGATTCTTGTGATAACCGTAAACATTTATTTCATTCGCATAATAGTAGAGAATTCATCGCAAAAGTCACAATTCAAAAATTTACCCCTGGTAGAGGAAAATTATCTTCAAGGGCCATCGTCGTCTTTACGAAAAAATGAAAATGGCAAAGGTTCACAGAAGTCCGAAGATATTCATGCAAAAATTAAGGAAGAGATACAAATGTTATCTTCGAAATATTTTAAACAAAATACGAGTTATTTGATAGTCCTCGAACGGTTATTGTCTGAATTGAAAATTATGGACAATGTTGTATACGAAGACATATGGAGTATTCCTAATAACAATGTTAGTTCTATTAATTATTATATTTCTTGTCTATAGTTTGACACTTCGTTTATGATAATTTTTCATGTATAAAGATGTTGGATGCTGATAATTCACACGCAACATCGTGTGTATAGTGGCCTGATGCTCACCAGTTAATTCCACCATCGGCTCCAGAATTAGGGACTATACTTAATGCTTTGAGGAAAGCGAAAATAAAACATGCAGACAATGCTGTCCTTGGTACACAATTGAAACTTATGCTGACGTTGGAGAATGGGGCAAAAGCTGTGTTTAAACCACAATGGTATTCTAGAGATACAGTTATTCATGGACCCGTTTATTATGGAAAAGATCGTCATAACGCAGAAATCGTAGCATTTCATTTGTCTTCACTACTTGCCTTACGAAGAGTGCCCCTTGCTGTTATTCGAAAACGTATGATAAATAAAATTTAATAATTTTCTTTAAGTAAAAGGAATAGTTGCGCTAATGATTATCACATTGTTAAATTTCAGTTGATCTTACCAATGAGATTCGTAAGCATGCAACACCAGAATTACATGCTACTATGTATCAGGAGGGTAATGATACATGTTTGTATGGTGTTTGCCATTACTGTTCTTCGAACGATCCAGTTTGTGGGACTGGTAATATCTTAGAAGGTGCATTAATATTCTGGTTACCACGTTACTTGCATCTTGTTAAACATCGACATCCATGGCAAAGAACATATAAGAAAAAAAAATTGGCTATATGGGAAACGGATGATGCTTATTGCGAGAAGGTGAATTTTATTCATACATATGTACATGAATGATAAATTTACGTACCTATACAATGTTAATATATGTAAAAAAAATATATATTTTTTATAAGGTCAAAGAATCCAAAGCATATTCACCACAATTTTCAAGTAGGCTATTGGATTTGATAGATACTGCAGTTTTTGATTTCTTGATGGATAATGGTGATCGACATCACTATGAATTAGCACAAAATAATTTTCATAATCCTGCTGTATTATTAATAGATAATGGGAAGAGTCTTGGTAATCCTGATATTGATCATCTTGACATTTTAGCACCTCTTTATCAATGTTGCATGTATGTATAAGAATTTTGTAAAATAATATGATAATCAACATAATATGATAAGATAGAATGAAACATTTTCTGTTTTAGGATACATAAAACTACATGGGATCGTTTAAAAATGTTCAGTGGTGGTACATTAAGCTTGTCATTGGAAAAGCTTATTGCTCGCGAGACAATAATGGCCGATGTTCTTCCGCTTATTTCAGATGCACATCTTACCGCTATGGATAGAAGGCTTCTTATCATTTATGGCGTCGTTGAATACTGTATAAAGAAAAGGAAATATGTTTCTAATGTGATTCTAGATCATCGGTAATATAAAGCAAGAAATAAGATATTTTATAGATTATCGTTTTTAATTTGAAATAGTAGAAAAATCTTGCTATAGCTATGCATAATAAATTTGATATTATATATATATATACACACATATATATATATGCATATATGTTGTATTTTTTATATGTTATATTTTTTATATAGTAACATTGAACATATTTAAAATCGACGATGAAATAATTTAGTTTTGGTCGATGATTGAGTAATGTCTAAGAAGGCGTAAAATCATTTAATGCTACAGATCGTTAGAGTTTAATGTGGTTTATTTTATGTCACAATAATTACCATTATTTGGATAAATTTTGGATGTAGCGCCGTACAGCGTATAAATACGGTACAAACGTAAAAAACCTGTTAATACGATTGTATAATCGTTAACATACTTTAAAGTTCGTGTCACAGATTGGGATCTGAGAATGTTTTCTCAGCTCGATAACATGTACAATATGTATATAGCGAATGTAGCTCGTGGTACTTGTCGGGGCTTAACAGTAAAGAGAAACTTGTGGGAGTGAAAGAGAAACTACAAATTTAGTGTAATGTTGCAGTATGATTACTTTTCTTTCTGTTCACCACAAGAGATCTCTGTAAAAGCTTATGATACCAAACTTCGAGTCAAGTTTCCACATTAGCTCCTTTTTTCCTTCAACGTCTTCGCACAATAACCCTTATATACTTTATTTACAACATTACATGACCAGAATTACTCACATATCTTATCGAATAATTATTATTCATTTTTTTTTGTTCATAATACATATTTTAGCGCCATCATTCGCGTATGTAACGTGTATATGTGTATGTATATGTCAGGCGCATGCGTTTACGTGTATGTATATGTATGTAACGTGTATTAACGTGTACATGTGTACGTATAGTCGAGAGACGTATATACGCGTGTGTATTATATATAGTAACATTTTTGTTCTTTTTTAATTAAATAGAGCTTTCGTAGCAAAGTATGTATAAATAGACTATCCTCGCGCGCACGATTATCTCGAATTGCTTCGCGTTCTCGAGTGCGAAACAAATACATATATATGCTGCATCGAACCATCCGTCCATGAGATCCGTCTAAGAAAACATAGATTATAGATTACCTGAAAATAGTGGACGAGTGGAATAGCGACTTCTGCCATTCCTACATCTTCGCTTAGATCATTATTAGTCCATCTTTCTACGTTCTATGATAATACTGTATACCAGCAAAACTTTTTTGAGTATATCACTTTTCTTTTCTTTTTTTTTTTTTATAGGCTGTACTATACGATTCTCGTATAACGAACTCAATCGTAGAAATGCATTCATTCAAAAGAAATTCGTACTTCGGTAACGGCAGCATTGATTATTGCATTGCATGGAGATGTTATTTACGTTATTTATCTCCGCATGATCATTATTACTCGGAAAAAACACGGAATTATATCTCTTATATACTTGTCATTTACTTATTTAATTAAATATCACACCAAAGTGCTCGACGCACGTAGAACTTAGATATAGGCCAACCATAGGTACTGAATGTATTTTTTCAACGTATACGAGAGACATTATTTTGCATGCAATTTAAATGCAATTACTTTGAAGAATATAAAAAAGAATATAAAGGAAAGAAAAAATAATTAACAAAAAACAAAGGAATTGAAATTTCCTGTACGGTAGTCGTATCATACATAGTTATTGGATGGCCGAGAATATATAATAATATTAGTATGATTATACATACATTAACATCAGTAATTTTCACGTTGAAAATATGTCGCGTCAGGGTACGTTACACGACACCTTTTTTTTTTCGTAGAAAAATTTTTCAAATCACATCGCTCACCTATCGGGGTCTCTGTTCAATATTCGATTATTTGACCTAATATTATTTCATAATTTTTTAATTGTCGTATGTACGATGGCGATTATCTCCTAAATATTATTCTCGAGTCGTACTTTTGATTTCGCACGACCTATCTTTCAGAGCGCAGATTCTACGCCCCTTGACGATGACGTCGAGGAACTCAAGTCCTCCGAATGTCGAGTGTGAGAGGAATCGAGCGAAGTAACGGAATCGCTGTCATTGCTATGGGGACTTGAATAATTAGCTGCTTCCTGAAGTCTCATCAGCATGTTCAACTGTAAAAGAGGAAAATTAGTTATGTATAATAGAAAAGCAGAGAATGGTATCAAGCAAGAAGTGTGGTTTGAAGAATAAAGAATACTAACAAGAGGATCTCCTTCGGTGTCGCTGTGTGTACTTCCGAGGCTCTTTACACTGGATGCACCTACGCCTGAGGTATGACCAGAGGTAACGACGTCATAACCAACGTCCTCGGGCCTTAAACGAAGAAGAGCATCGCTACCACCGTGTACAGCGTGCGTCGAGATCCACGGATAACTGGAGGTAATAAATTGTGCAGGATCTTCCCATGTGGATTCGCCATTTCCACTCCCACTTGCGCGTCTTCCATACAACGTTAGGCCTTCTCTGACAGCCTCAACCAGATACGGTATTACAGAATAGTTCCACAAATCCGTGAACCAAACTTGAGAACCTGCCACTTCCATGGGGCAAGAAAGAAAGAGTCGAGGACCTAAAAATGTTTGTGTTTTTTATGGTATAATAAGGAAAATTTTCGAATAATGATCCTATAAGTAATTTTCTTACCTATCGTTACGTCGGAACTGCTGTGCGTTTCTAGGAACTTATTAAGATGTAGCCAGACGCGTGGTAGCCATTCGACAACGGCGGCCATTTCTGCGTTTCTTGTGCCACCTGATTCACGTAATTCGTGTTCGAGTAGCTTTCGCCTGAGGTAACGGCCCAAAAATCCCTTAACCGGTTCCATGTGATTGGCGCACAGTACCCACCTGAAAAAGGTAGAAAAGCATATGCGTAAACTGCTTATATTCCAGACGAATAAGGCGACTTGAAATATGAGAAGCTTATGCTTTCTCGTCTATACCTAAAATTATGATGTAATTGAAGATTTGTGGTACTGCAAGTAGCCTGACTCATGGTTCCGATGATTGCTGGACAGGACGAGTGTCTGGTACCGAGAAGACCACTAAAAAGTTCGCCAAGAGAGGCGGCATGTTGAAGATTCTCCAAAATGATCACTCTCGGTAATTCGTCGGCTGCATTAGAGTCGCATCTTTCAGCGATATGAGCGAGGTATTGTTTAAGTTCTTTGCTTGATTTGTGGTCAACTATAAAGGTGGCCACGGCAGCCGCGTCTTTCGAGTCTGTATCGGCATCTACGAGAGCGTGGGCCAGTTTCCCTGCCAGGTAACTTTTACCGGTACCGCTAGGTCCGCAAAGAATGACTCTGCGATGTTCCGTTAAGAGAGATATTAGTCGTTGAACAATAGAACGTGGTATTAGAGTGTCGATAGCAAGCCAGGAGTAACCAGAGAGCACCAGATAAATTGTTTTCACGTGTCCTATTAAATAACCGCACGGTAGTAATTCCGGATGTTGAGAATCCGTCGTACACCTGTTAAAATAAATAATATTTATATACCTATAAATTATATGTACATAAGTTAAAATTGCTTCGAGTTGTTTGCTCATAACTAGACAAAGTAAAAGAGACTTAGCTAACCTTGAAGCTTCACCAAGATGATAAGCGGCGACACAGTCAATGCCGAGACCTAAATTCGTAACGGGATCAACTCTCGATACGTATTCCTTGAAACATCGTCGTACAATCGAGTCCAGAGCATCCCAGCTGGTTTTATTACTAATGCAAACGTTTGCGATAACACAATGCGGAGGTTCGCCGATGATGCCACTATCCGAGGTGTTACCAGATATTAGATTGTAATTGAAATTTTTTTCACTCCCAAGATAGACAGCAACATTAATTCTCTTTCCATCGGTGTCATGGTCTAATGCTGGCTCGGCGGTCGTAGTTGAAGTCGTTGATGGCACGACAGAATGCTCCGGTACATTGAGATCTTCCAATTGATCCGCAGTTGAACTACTCTCACCATTCGATAGGGCAGCAACGCTCGAGGCTACTTCCGTCATACTGAAACGCCTGTCGGGATCGCTCGGGAGAGACGATTGCGAAGATGTAAGAGATTTCGATGTGACCAGCCGCTGTAGACGTTCGTTGTTTTGTTTCAAATTGAGCATTTCGTTCTATAAGAAAGACAATCATCAATTATTATTAGTAGAAACGATCTCAAACGATTTCTCGTCGAGAAGCACGAAGTTCTAAGAAAACTTACTCTCATCTTGATGACTGTATCCTTTAGCGATTCTAATTGGTGGGCCGAGGAGAGTGCTTCCAATCTGATATCCGTGAGAACGAGATCCTTTTCTCTGAGTTGTTTCTTCAATTCGTCCACATCCTCGTCCTCCTTTTTATACAATGCAGAGCTACTCTTGCTACCGGTAAGAGGATTTTCAGCTTCTGGTGATTTTTGTCCGTTGCTCCTGGTGCCACTTTGGTTCCTCACGTTTTCGTGTTTCGAGGCCGTCGGTAATCTCGGACTATTTGGGACGCTCAATTCTCCACTGGCACCGTCCTTGCAATCCTCGGCATCGGAAACTGAACCATGCCTGTTCTTTCGCGACCTGGAGAATGCTTTTGAAAAGGAGCTACGTAACCAACCCTTCTTTTTCTGATGGCTACTACTCGCGGAACAAGCACTGCTCAAAGAATTGAGCGAAGTGACGCTGTCCGCCGACAACTGTCTTGCCATTGATGCACCTTGATGATGTCCACTGTTACCACCCCCACCGGTGCATCCTGTATTACCAGAATCCGAATCGCCAAGAGTATGTCGTCGTCCATTATTCCCTGATCCTCCTGGTCCGTTATTCAATCCAGCTTCCGCGCTTTGCTTTCGAAGCCTCTCGATTGTCTCCCGTAACTCTTGTAATTCGGAATCCTGTTAAATGCACAAAAAATAATTGGAACAAATTCTTAGTAAGGCCAATTCCCATTTTAGAGTTTTATGTAAGTTATCCTACCTTTGATGACTATAAAATCGATTATCTTTTATTATTCGCGAAACTATTCTTTCCGTGAATAGGACATAATTCCTTTTTGTGACAACAGGTGCAACTATCCGAATGACTAACTAAGGAATCACTACTCCAAGAATCAGCGATGCTAAACAATTGTCTCATCGACTTGGAACTTGATTCCTGCCCGAGCTTATCCGATCTATCAAGCTCCTTCGCCATCCGTTTTTTTTTTATTGTCATCGATTCGTCTAGTTTGATATTTCGATTGAAAGTTTTTACAATGCTAGGAATTAAACTTTTTTTCGTCCTAGAATTTTCAACTTGAAAGCCTCTTTGCGACGACTTCTCTACGGCCGTCGCAATACGCTTTTTTTCGTAGATTTTTTCACGAAATTTTGTCGAATCCTTTGGCTTATTAGATCGCAATTGATTACCGAACGTTCTGCTCGATAATTCGACTGTTCTACCGTTATTCTTGGATTTCAATTCTTTGGATTTAATCGAAGACGACGATATCGGAGTTGAATTTTTATTCCCGGATAACGTGTTGGATTTTTTATTGGTCGCGCTAGTTCGCGGTACACTAAGATCCATCGTTCGATCGTCGAACCATCGCAATTTACGATTCTTCGAGAGTTTTCCCTTTTTTCTTTTTTTTTTTTGTTCTTTTTCTTTCTACTTGGTGCGAATTAATTAGACAGCGTGAGTTTCCAATTTTAATCGCGTCTTGCTGAGAGTAAGAGGTTATTTGCGGAGGTTACTTAACGTGTTCAATGAACAATTAACACAGGATTTATATTCAAGATTGTAAAGAAGTTAATCCTTTTTTTTTTATTAACATTTTGACGAACGCATTGCTATAAATGCGATTAATTTCACATTTTTCGATTTTTACGCGACAACTTATGAATTTTGACGCCTGGCATGTTTGATATAAGAATTGCATTAAACGTTCGGACATCGATCGTACATTGTCTTTGGTGAAATTTGTCGAGGAAAAAAATTAACAAATACAAAATAATAAACAAAATTATTTCGATAATGTATCGATGTTTACCTTTTTTTCAGCTGTCGCCGTGAGTTGTTGTAATCGTTGCGTCATGTTCGATAAGGATTGTTCGAAAGCTGATACAACATGTGCCTAAAACAAAAAATTAAGTTTTCTTTTTGTATATAATCATACTGACTGGGATTGATTAAAATGAAATAATATCGTTGATGTATATACGGTGAGGGTAAAAAAAAAAAAAATGGTTATTTTAATTGAATTCTCTCAATATGAAGTATCCGTTTCGTTTTACTACCTCCTTGGCGTTAGAAAACTTATGCAGGACCGTCGACCTGCATACATAGGTGCGTACTATACGTGGACAAGTACTCCCTGACTAAAATAATAATCAGCCACGATATTTCACGCACGCACAGCCTTGGAAAAGAGGAAACGGCTATTGTCATTGCCATTGCCATTGATTGTCGACGATACGAGGATAGGACGTAAACGTAAGGGAAACAATTGCAACGGTATACATATAATTATATTTAACAAAAGTATAAAAAGTTATGGACTGAAATCATATTTTACCAATTAGCCATGATTGACGAGTATAATACTAGTCATGGAGAAAAATTACACCTGCTATTTGCTATTTAATCAGTTTTTTAGCTATGGTAATCAATTTGAAAAGTGTTTTCCTAAATTTTGTCGCAAAATTAACGCAATAATATAAAATATTATCATTTCTTAATGACGCGAGTATTATTCGTCGATAACATTTAACTGATTAAAAGTATTAATCGGTAAGAACTTTTTGGGAGCAATCAAATATTTTTGTAAATCCTATCGATTCTCTTTTTGCGTATACACAATGTGCATCGAAAACGAATTCAAAGACTCGTATCGAGGGTGATACCGTAAACGATGCGTTCTTTTCGTTTCGTTTCGTTTCTTTTCTCCTCTCCTTCCCTTCCCTTCCCTTCCCTTCCCTTCCCATCCTACCCTTGTGGTGTACGACGAGCTCTCGCTGCGTTTTAGATGCGAACAAGGCATCTCACTATGCACCGCCATTCGTTTTGCTTCTATCATCGGCATCTAAGTTTTTGCCGAAGGTTTCCGGTCCAGTTTTTAGTACTATTCGACGACTCGCTCTCGGCTTTCATTAAGCTCCGTATAAAATAAGACAAACAAAACTTTCCCCCCACGATCTTGTGGACGCGATAAGCCTTCGAAAACGAATCCTCAAACATATTATAATCGAATTATATTTTTATTTCTTTTATAAAAGATCGATCAAAATTTTACGAACACATTTTATTAAAATCTATATATTCAATCTCAGGTAATCAATTTTTAAATAACAAGTTCGAAATGAATGTATATAAACACTATGCTTGTAGTTTAATAACAGATTCTATGAACATTTGTTTCGGTGATTATGACAATGGACATTTCATCAAAATGTTTGTAGTATATTAAACATTTAAATCAAATATACGTATTTATAAATCAACACGAATTTTTTCCGGTCAATTCAATACTCAGGTTTTAAATATTTTCGTTTAAGAATATTAATTACATAATACGAAATCAATAGTAAATTTTTCGTGTAAATATTTCAATTGGAATAAAAATAAATGGAGTAGTAGGAACAAGATTAGGATTGCGTCAAGAGTCCTTGAGTTTGCTTTTAATTTACAATGCAAATATATACGCGACAAGAGAATCGACAGCTTTTATACAATACTAAAGAAATATTTGTTTAGAAAGATGAATTATGTATGATTCGATATCGATTGACCTTACCGTATAAAACTCTTGCTAGAATAAAAAAAAATGGAGTATTACGGAATGATAACGAGGAAGATTAACATTCAAGAAATTCTGAAAAAGGATCGTTCGTGCCCTCCGCTTCAGAGACGCATCATGCGAACTCGGTATAATCCTTGAAGCGTTACAAGTCGAGTTAAGAAACAAACTGTTGCTGTTGCTGCTGCTGCTGCTGTTGCTGTTGCTGTTAAGTTCCAACAGTTCCCAGGCCGTGAAACTACGATTCTCCTTCATAACGCAATACGTTATGGAGTCTCCCTTTATATATATATACATATATATACACTTAGAACTTCGGTTTAAACGGGGGAAATTATGTACAGGAAATGATATTCCAGGGTCTACAAAAACTTCGTGCGAAATGTAATTAAATAAAAGTGTATAGATGGTTTTGAAAAGAGCTTATGCGAATAAACAAGTTGAAATATCAAATAGTGAGATACATTTGAACAAAAAAAAAGGAAAAAGAAGAAGGAAATATATATATAGAATAGAATAGAAAAGAAGAGAAAGGTAGAAAAACGGCGAAAGATCGCTAAAGAAATCTTTCTCAATCGTTTTTATAAAGGACAATTCAAAAGGATAGCGAGATCGAAACCTTTTAAGGTTTGACTTTTCCTTTCTTTCTACCACATCTTATGGTTAGATTCAGATCTAAAGTTTTTCTTAGAAAGATTGCCAGACAGGTCTCTTATGATGGGGGGAAAATTTGAAATGGAGAGAACCGGTAGAAATATCATCCAAGTTTTTTCAAGTGGTAAACCTATTTTAAGTTTCTTCTATTTTGTGTGTGTGTGTTTTTTTACGACGACGACGACGACTAGAAAATCGTTTTATTTTTAAATCAAATTGATTAAACAGAATCGTTTGAAATCATTCTATTCCGTGCAATTGAAACATTTAAAAATATTTCTAGTTACCGTTAGAAAATCCTTTGACAGATCATAACAAACACATAAAATGATATCAACGCAGCCGACTACAAATGGGTCCCAGTTTTCTCGTTTACCTGAAGAGAAGGACAACTCCGATGTCTGTACTTCCTCGTAGCAAGTTCCCACCAGGGTATCACGTTATCCGTACTCCGTGGCTTAACCGGATCGCTAACGGCGTGCTCGTAAAGCGGTTCGAGCAACGTCACGTTCCCGGATAGACGCCTGGGAGAATCATTAGAAACCTGATCCCTGGATACGTTTCCTCTTCTTGGCAAGGTGGCGAAAAGTGTGTGCAAATATTTTCCAGATTCATCATTGTTCGTATCCGATTTGAATGAATCGTGCCTGGTTCGATTATTAAATCCAAAAATCGTTGTTGGAAAAGTATCTCCGATTGTTAAATTTAAACGAGATCTCTCCAATTGTCCTTTGAGAATGACGTCAGTGGCATCCATCGGATAAATAGAATCTCTCGTCAAAGAGGAACCGTCGCTGACGTCGATACTACTGGAACAGGCTCTAAAAGAAGGCTCGATCTTTTCACGAGATGTTCTATCGAGAACATCTTCGATAGATTTGTGAAGAGATCTACCGATAATTCTTTCCTTCGATCTTCTATACGGAAGAGTTCCATACTTGTTATTATCCAAATTCATCGGTAATACGTCACCACATCGAGCGTACAAATTTGATAGATTTGTTCTGGCAAGTGCATTAAATTCGTGCCGATTTTTCTCTAAATTATTAGCATCTAATAATAAAGTATTTTGGCAAGATGTACGCTGGGTGATTTCAAAGGATCGATCATCGTCAGTCGAGTCGTCCTTCGATTCAATTCCATCTGAAACCGATGCCGATACCAATTCGCCAGTATCTCTTTCCCTTAAGAGATAGGCTTTTTCATTCGTAGATTCATCAATGGCATGAAGAGAATCCGTTGATTTAGTTGAGGACGTCGTAGTTGATCCTGTTGAATGTCTCGAAGTACTCGACAACGAGGAAGATCTAACCGAAGGACTAGGTGGAATTTTCCGACGTGTACCAGACGCTGATAAATGTCGTATCGATTTCGCTATTTCGATCCTTCGGTTGCATATTATCGGTTCGTTACTCTCATCGAGATTGTCAGAAAAATTCTCACCGAAATTTGGTGAAATCGGTGGCATCGGTACCATTCCACCTCTGTTACGAAGATAACCACAGAAATCATCTGACAGACAAAGTGTTGTCTCGTCTTTCGATATTTTATTGATCATCCCATAACTCGAATTATTCGATTTGTCTGATCTTTTATAATTATTTTCGATCTCGGCTATATTCTTATTCACGTCCTCGATGTATTTGACAGTGGTTCGATAAAGGTCTCCACTCTGAACGTAATTTCCATCGACAACGACGGCTCGACGATCGCGTCTGCTTCGAGATGAAGATCCGTTGTTAGGAAGTGCATAAATAGGTTCACTTGCTCCAATATCCTTATCGACTAAACCTCCTTCTCCTCCTCCTCCTGCCCTTTCAAACTCGCTTCTTGTTAAATGGGAGTCGTTTTTCCGTTCCTCTCGAACGATCCCACCAGCAACAGACTTTTTCGTACCGGATTGGACCATCTTTGATCGTGGAAGACCGCTATGTCTGATGATAACACGTCGAGATGATTTCTCGTCGATAGGAATAAACGATCTCAATGTCCGTTCCTCGTTTCTATCTCGATCAATTTTATCTTCAACATTATCGATGACTTTATCGTTATTATTGTTCTTGAAATTGCATTTCTTCTCATCGACGATTACGCAGGAACGACTTCTTCGTACATTTCGCGGTTCCTTTCGTACGCCATTCTGATTGGCCAAATTTTGTCGAAATGTTTTCAAATTAGTTTGATTTGTACTCCTCGTATCATATTTTCTCGACGGTGCGCGCAATGTCCCGTAAGTTTCGACAATTGTTTTCCCATTGTTCATCCAACGTTGGTCCAAAGATGTCCTATGAACGTCGTCGTCGGTAAAATTTCGACTAGAAATTTGAATACGCGACCCTAACGTATAAGAACCATCACCACCACCACCACCACCGCCACTGTCCACTATCAAATTTTCTTCTGAATCTGTGATTGGACGGGGTCTGTTACGACCACGCGATCTTATCGTCGCGTAACCATCGTGAACTTGTCGCGAGCACACCTTCAAATCCATCGTAGATGGATTAAAATCGTTCGTAAATTAACGAGTAAAGTTCTGTTCATAATTTGTTCCTCAACTTGTACACACCGATCTTCTAGGCTAATGAATA